TAGAAATCTCTGTGTGCATCCCGTGTAATATTAATTAACAAGCGCGGTGTACGTCTTCCCTCTTCCGAGCGCTATACGACCACCCCCGTCACTAGCGTTGCGGTAAATTTAATTCGCTAATTGATACGTCGACGATCCGACTTTGTCACCGACCGCGACACCGTGGCGGTATCGAGCGGCCATTTCGTAATAATGATAATAATAATAATTTATGTGTATTAATAAGTGTATCATTGCAAGAATAAACAACTAGTTGTTATTGCTCCTGCACATTCCCAAATATTATATTATGATATTACTTAAGAGTCGAGGTACAAGCGAGCACATATATACTCGTAATAGCTATAGGTAGGTAGTATAATCTGTAATCTGCGGAAATGTCCACATTAAAAAATATGATGCAGTAAATGACTGACAAGAATATTTTTTTAATCGTGCAACTAAGAAATCTAATTTTAATATTTTTCACCGGGATATTTAGGTGCCTGTATTGTATTGTATTGGTTGAATTATTTTATTATAATAGGTTAGCGAAAAAAAAAATTACATGAAAATCATTGTTTTCGGACTATAGTTAAAAGGAAACATCCGGAAAACTTCCTCAGTGGTATATTATGTGCTGTCGATGATTACTATATTATTATATTAAGACCTAAGTTATCTAAGAGAGATGATGGATAGAGATGATGAGTACACTATACGCATAATTTGCCTCAACAATGGAGAAGCCTGTCCCGAAGCGGTGTAGGTCGTAAGCTCGTAACTCGTAATCACAGGGCCGCACAACTACAACTGATGATGACAAAATACCAGTTTTTGTTCCTGCGCACTCTTATTCTCTCGGGTGACTGAGCAAGTACGAGTACCTATATTCATAAGTCATAAGTCATAACTAAACATGCGTTTAATTGTTCAACATGATTTCTCTTTAACTGGAAAAATGTAAAATAAAGCTTAAGAGTTCTTACCATTATAAATTTATATTAAACAATTTTAACCGTTTTTCTAAAATATAATTTAAACTAATATGTGTATCTACACTAAAATACTGGTGGCCACAACTTATACCTCCCAAGATATTATGAACTGCAAATAAGAAACATCGTCCTTTATGTTGAAGAGTAAAAACGTACTTTATACACATTGCAAGATGAACAAATAGAAATGTATAGATTATCCATAATAGATATGTAGGTAGCATAATACATAATATACATTTTTTTTTATGTGTTTCTGAAAAGTTATATATTATAATTTATAACATTATGTTTGAACGAATTAAATCACCACATAAATACGGTACACCTGCGTATTACATATTAAGACCTACACTATATCAATATACATATAATATATGTACACGGTTTTAATTTTGAAAAATGTTTGTTCGTTTTAAGGAGGAAATACATAACCGTTTTAAATAATTAAGTGGCAGATTTCGACAAAATACGATGGAAAAAAAAACGTGACAACGGTTGTTAAATTTCATATCGGTTAATCCGATGCAGGTGATTCGATTAATTCTCACGTTTACACGTAAAATGTAGAATACAATATTACCTATACACGTATATTATTCTACCCATAGGTATTACGTAATGTTACAATGTTCGGCGATGACGATTGACGATTGTAATTAAACAGGGGAAACGTTAACCAAAACCACCTGCGCGTACACATCATAATAATAAAATATTATACACGCGTATTATAGGTGCATACAAGCGTACAATGATACAACAACTGTATCGTGTCGCATATTATAACTACACGATATTATTATTTATTACTATTATTGCGGCGCAGTGCCCGACCGGGAGATATGAATCTGTTTTGCGCGGTCGCGGTTAAAAGTGATGACTTCCTATCCGCTCGCAGCGGACGTTGACAATATCATTATATTATAATAAAACGCACTGCACGTAATACTATTATTATTATTATTATTATTATTATTATCATCGTACATAATATACGCGAGTATGTTGTATATCATGTTATAAAAATAATAGTAATAATAATATATTGCAATGTTCGTGTGCATAGGTACATATGCGCCATGTACATGCGGACTGCAATTTATAATAATATATTATATACAATTCTTATATAGCCGTAAAATAATATAATATTGTAGAACACTGATCGGTCGGTGGTCATTACGTTAGTACCCGAACTCGATAATAAATTAACATTTTACCCACATTAATATTCATCGTATTCAGTTATCACCATAACTATATTATATGACTATCATGATGAAAGAAAAAAATGGTTTTAATTAAATTAGGAACGTTTCCCTAACCTAACCTTACTCGTGCTCCGGGTTTGACGAATCTTTATTAGCAGGTACGTTTATACTATGATGACTTTAAAACGGTTTTCTATCAACGGATACTCCATTATTCTTATGGGTACTATAATGTCTTGAATTATTTTACTTACCAGTAAATAAACATAGATATCTATAGTATCTATAGATCTAAAACCGTTTTGACACCATCGCAATATTGTAAACGTAGGCACTATAAAGTATATACTATTAAATTATATTATATAATTTACATATTACACGACTATTATGTCCAAAATGCTAAAGGGCGTTGTCCGCCTACTTTTCTCTAATATCTATATAAATTGTATAACATTATTTATTATAGGTGCAAAATGATTCTTTTAAAGAAAACGCTAATTTTCTCGAAAATGATTTACGTTATTGAAAATATCTTATTTGTATGTTAACTTAGTCTTAATAAAACAATAATTCTAATTAGAAATAATGTATTATTTTAATTGTTTTATCTTTTTCATTATTTAAGTTTTACTTTTTATTTGTTAAGTTACTTTTTTGAATAAAAAATTACATTTTTAATTTTAATTTCATAATTTAATTTAAAATATTTTGTTAATAATGTCAATACATACAAATTAAATATCAGACAAGTTATATACTATAAGTTATAACTTATAACAATTAAGTCATGGTTTTTTATATCTTTTAATATCTTAATTATTGATTGTATGCAGTAACTTATAAAGCATACGTGAATAAAGCATAAGTGAATTGTGTAAACTTCATCGATCCGCAAATCACACATCAATCTCGATTTTCATACTATAATCTTTATACCACTGGGGATGCAAATCAAAACGAAAATTAAATTCGGACTAGACAATAAGATATTAATAACTTATTTTGATTTCATATAAGTAGATTATACATTTTTTTAAATAAAAAACATATGTTTTTATTTTTAAGAGAATATTTGTAGGACTTCTTTACAAAAATCTGGACCCTATAGTTATATCCATTACGGTATGGTTACATATAATATGTAGGAACCTGTGTGGCTGTACATTATATAATATTATTATATTATGACTGATGTGCAAGTTTAGAGATTCGATTCGCCGAAAATAGAGAAATACTGAAAACTATCTATACACGTTTAATATGGAATAATATTATAATTGTATAACTAAATAATATTCTGATGTTCGGAGATGAGACAATTATTTTCATTGTAGTCGACGTTCAAAGTTTCCACATTAAATTTGCAGATGCTCATGAAAAGGGAGTTGAGTAATCAAATAGTACAGAACGAGTTAAGTTAATACTCACTTTAATAATAGAAGTGTGATGCAGGTATTGATTACAATATCAAATTGTTACTATAGGCGCTTTAAATATTTTTTTTTTTGTAGCCACAGACATGGTTGGAATTTTACGATATAAAATGTGTCTGGAAACATTCTATAAATCACTAAGCAACTTTTAAACCACTCATGTCTCATAGAATTATAAGTACATATAAATTAAATTTGTTTTTTCTCCCCACATCTCCATCGTGGCATACAATCCTTTTCCATTTCGCGAGAAACTATGGATCGCGGTGCATTTTTAAACTGCAGAATTCATGGTAATTAAAGTTTTTTTATTTTATTGTACCTGTTGTTTTCAAATAACGTTTACTAACACATAAAACGCACAGTTGATAAGTGAATTGTGCAAACTTCATCGATCCGCAAATCGCACATCAATCTCGATTTTCTTACTATATAGGTCCCAATTTACACACAAATAAAATTTATACCACTGGGGATGCAAATCAAAACGAAAATTAAATTCGGACTAGACAATAAGATATTATAAAGACGTGCGAAAAACGGACGCACCTATACGTGGACAATATAATCGCCTCTAGATATTATTTTGATATATAGTTTTGTACCCCATATCTACGGAGACCTGATCGAAATATACTCACACAAAAGTTCCCACGTATCATCGTGTACAATATAGATACGCATAAATTTCATTTCAAATATAAAACGTCGATATGACACATTTTGTATTATACTCGAACGGCGGCGGTTTCTATTTTTCGAAAACCGGAATTCATCACGTCCCGCGAGCGTTTCCCTCCTAGGGTATAACATTGTCGAGACCGTTTTCGGTAAACCGGAACGGATAACTCCTCTATACTATAATATGTGCATAATAATAATAATATAATGCGTACGATTTCCTAATACCTATACAGTATACATACACGCCGTGGCCGCCGCTGACGGATTTTTGGGGACGAATAATATATATTTATTATGCGCTCTCCGTATAATGCCCATTAAACACATTTTTAGTTTTTAAAAACGGTGTGCACCCCTTATGCAAAATTTTCTTCGGATGTACACGCATATTGCAGTGGTTTAAACCGCGCGGATATAGGTATACAGCACACACACGCACACACATACACACGCACTGACCGTGGGACAATGGGAGGCCGCCGCGGCCGTCGGGACGTAAATAAATCATACACAATGGACAACGGTCTCTCCTCGTCGTCCAGCCCAGCGATCGTATATATATACGCGAGCATTATAATAATATGGTATAGGTACCTTGGCTGTTTTTCCCCGTCGTCCGACTCACAATATATATGTATACGCATATTATATTGTTATAATAGCAGTAATGGTAATAATAAGACACTGACCGTTTTGTTGTGTCGTCGCTTTGTGCTGCAGCTCCTCCGCGAGTCGGTGGTCGTCGTCGTCGTCCGACGGATATTTTCGCATATTGTATCGATTGGATTTTATTCAAATGACGGTCACCGCGACGATCATACACCTATGCGTAAATAATAAAACACATTATCATTATTGTTATTACAATTTTACATCTCTTTCCCTGCAGAACCGTCCCGTTCCCGATCACTGTGCATAGCATTTCCCAGGGTCCAGGCTGCGAAAACCAGTATATTATTCTTCCCGACCGGGATGACCACTATCCTCGTATCAGCGTGTATATTATTGTATTGTATAATAAACTTGTGCTCAACTGTACCGCGGGCCATACATTACAACAATAATAATAATAATAATAATAATAATAATAATAATAATAATAATAATAATAATAATAATATGCATCACAAAGGTCTTACGTATATGCGCTTCGATTTTAATAAATCCGTTTTCCGTGACCGATCCGCGAACCGGTCGCACTCGTTTTCAGACCCGTTTATCATTTTAATATAGTATCATGGTTTGGACGTTCGGTCCGTTGCATCCTGCTGCAGGAGATCATAGGGTCGACGGTGATTCTATTCGGTCGGTGGTCGCTGGTGTACTAACTTACGCAACATGCTCCGCACCGCGAAAGTCTGCGATAGTAGTTGTTGACGACAATAACCTGAATTATCATGGTTTTTTTTATATATATAGAATTTTCGGCATCGATCGATTGCGAGGATCGATCAGGAGCGATTTCGATGATAATAATAATAATAATAATAATAAATAGCAGGTAAATGTCGACGACGAAGTCTTTGTAACCGCCGTGGTCGTCGTTTGTATATAATATTACAATAGGATATTATTATTCTTTCCGATGTATCTGCAGCGTCGTCGTTACAACAATAATTAATTATGTGGCTGACGTATGTGTATACGATATTGAATGTCATATTATGTAAGACTATTGTCCGTGCCCCTCGCGTTCAATTAATGAATAATATAAATGCACGACTGTGGCCCGATGTGAGTTTACTGATCCATAGAAAGAATCGTCGCAATAAAGCTACATTTCAGCAGTTTTGACGAATTATAACCGCAAGCGAAAAAATGTCAAAGTGAGGAATCTCGCGTACAAAGGTGTAATGTACCGCGAAGTTGTCGACGACGATCGTTAATAAATAAGTTTTTGGTACCGGAAGGCGAAAACAAAACCGTATATAAACAGAATAATATTTGGACACGACAATACATAATTTTATAATATTTCACAAAAATAAAGAAACGAACAACAATTATTATAGACACATAGATCCCGCCTTGTCTCAATATCGGTATACTATATTATCATAATATAGAGTAATCGTTAGTTTTAATATAATACAATAAAATACAATTACGACCGTCGCGCGTCGAAGATCTATACAATTTGTCGGTACGCTGCACATGCAGACGATTTCACGTTTACGATCGTGTCCGAATTTAATTGTTGCACATATGTATACATACGTTTTCTAATGGTCATCAATTATTGAGTAACGTCCAATGGGTCGTATATTGCACACGTTGTGTATTATATTATTGTTATTATATTATGCGCAATAGACTACTAAATTAAACCAATATAATATCAAAATCGAACACTGTTGATAATATTACATTATTAAATTGTACGCTGTATAACCTTTCGAGTGTATAATATCCATATAGCGGGTACATGATAATAATATGTTATAATATACAATTGAGCGTCACGATTATTGAAGTTTGAAGATCGATATAAAAATAAATAACGTCTAACGAAAATATTGAAACGTCATAAAATCGCCTAATTATTGTCTTCAACGGCTATTATTGTATGCGCTATAATGCCTTTTTGGCGTAGTGCGACCGAATTGGGATATTTACTAGAAAAATAGTGTTTAACGGATCTTGTCGTGTTGTTCCTATTTACGGTCTACACGACTACACATTATTATTATAAAATTATTTATTGCGTTTCGAGAATCGTGTATAATATATTATAAGAGGTGTTGTCACACGGCGGAAACGTTTTTTTCAACGCCCATGAATATTGATAGACCCGTGTAGATTGGTGTATATATAATAATTATATAACAACTATGTATTTTTTATGAGTCCTGACAGTGTCGTTGTTATTGTCGAGTTTTAATTAAATCAACTATACAGCCGTTTAAATGGCATTGATTAAACACGTAAACACTCATGAACTAGCTGCACGTGTAGGCTCGGTGGCGGACAATAACAAAAAGCTTCAGACATATTCGAATACGATACAACATAATGTTACCTATTTAATTGCGGACATTATGACAAAACAATTTATTAGACCACCGTACCAACTCAAGTGTAACATGGTGCAAAGGTACTCACTACTCAGTACAGTTTAGTAAATTTGTTTGATGATAATAAATAAAATAATCGTAACGTCATCTGCGGACTGCGTTGTTGCTAAACCTGCGTATTTTCAATTTAGCTGATAAACTGATACATAATATTTATTTGGCTGAAATAATGATAGAATGCGTCATAATTCATGATATTTTCGTAGGGACAATAATGTAAGAACAATCATAATTTTAAAAAAATTGTCTATAAACTGATAAAATAACAGTATAGATGCTGTCATATTATACAAATTATGTTAAATTAATAATTATTATTTTATATCACATTGAACAGTTTGCAAATTATCAGTAAATACAATAAATGTACTGGTTTGATCGACGACAATGTGCGTTTCCAAACGGCTGGACGATTTGTCTTCTTTCGGTAAACGATTACCGTGATACAAAAGTGGATTTGATTTATTTCAAAAGTCAAAATTATTATAATGTGATAATACCTCGTGACGTACCCTCCACGGGCGCTGTGCTAAAGGCATCTCTAATAATACGACAGAACCATAAACAAACGGACGTCCGTTCGTGGGGATAGCGGCAACAGCAGCACGTCATAATATCATATTATTATTGTACACATTTTTATGCAACCGTAAACCTGTTTTTACCCTTCAAACACACACACGCTAAACGCACGAATTCTTCACACTCACTGATCTTATTCTTACTAATGCCAAGCGGGATTCATTTTTTTTTTTTTTATACTTTCGCGATCGCCCAACGGACACAACAATACGAGTGTCGGTGCGGACACGGTCGAAACGATCGCGTATTGTCGTGGGCAGTTATATTCAAAATTTGCGCTCCCGTTCAATAAAATAAAATAACATAATCATATTATTATGGTATACAATATTATTATGTGCTGCTACCTCGCACGTGGTATGGACGATGAGCGGGGAGGAGGGGGACGCCGTCGGATAAAAATATATTCTTTTGGTTGTACGTATAGATATTATAATATGTTATTATGCAGGTACATTGTACACGATACGAAATATTGTTATATTTCTGAAAACGATTTTATTATAACGATTTGTATACTCGCACGGCGGCTGCCGTGTCAGTCTGCAGCTTATTCACTCGCGGCGCCTTCTCCGTGCGACCTGCACAGACGATACAGAAATGTACAATTTTATTATTGCCATCGCCATACAAGCTGCAAGCTACCTAATAATATAATATAGCACAACGTCATAATAATATAATATGTTTATTATACTCGCGACAACGTATAATCATATCACGAGCTGCAATCGTTTACCGCGTTTTCGTGTCGCGACGTCTAAACATTTCGAAATTCCGAGAATAACCGCGATGGCGCCACTCCGAGATCTGCTACTACCATCAATAATAGCGATTCGATCACAATATAAAATATGAAATGATAAATAGTCATTATTGAAATATTTCTTGAAAGCAACGAAACGTTTTATATATATAGCGACAAAAATATGAACATAGTTATCGACAATGGTGATAAAAATATATTTTGGTTACCATAGAATTTAATATTATGAAGATAATTACAACTTACAGCACAATAATACTTTTTAAACAAAAGTTATCTCTGAAAACTTGAAAAATATTTCAAGTTCGGCCAAGTTTTAATAAATCGTTAAGTTATAATGTTCGATGTAGATAATATAATATTATACGATAGTATAGCGAGTTATGAGACAAAACATCTTATGATGTTTACAGGTATTATCGTATTGTTTGTCGCGGTGAAAGAAAAGCACAATACTTTTTCCAGACATATTGTGTTTTTCAAATTTATCAATGCGAATTAGTTACGCTTCAAAACGTTTACCATTAAGATATTACACTGTTGATAAAAACTAAACTGTTTTGGTGTAAGGAAATTTCAGTTTTCCGACAGAAGTGACCGCCCCCGTTTCGATTGGGATGCGTGAACAGACTCCATTAATTTTTCTCCTTAATTGATAAGTATAAATTAATAAGTTCTGTGTTTAACAACACGAGGAGAAAACACTTTTTTTCATAGATTTTTCGATTGTTGTGAAATATATTCATTGTATTCAAGGACCATGGTGCCAAAAAACAAACGCGTCCGTCCTTCATTAGACGGCATATCATAATACAAATTAAATTATACAGAAAAAATGCTCACCTCAAACGGATATACCATATTATTATGCACATGCTTTTGTGTGTGTGTAAATATTACAATTGTTTATTCTGTTTGAACATTTTGTTTGAATTTTACCTGCCCCCTAAATGTATATAAAAAAGGTTGTCGGGTGAGAGGGGCCACTGGAACGCGATGCTAAAATACCCGTTTGAGTGGTTATACACCAACTGACTAACAACGTTAGGAATTTTTCACAGTTCACTGCGTCTTATCAGCAGACCTTTAAATTATAAATAAACCAATACGCCAGTCGTCTATTAATAAAACAACATTTTTACAATCACATAGACTTCTATCGTTTAACTTACATCTGAACACGTTTTTTATTTTACTCAATTTCCAAGGTACAAACCAAAATAATTGTTTTTTATATAATTGCACTTTCATGTACTAATGTAATATTTACATTTGCCTATCATATATGCACATCAGTACATGAACTCCATGAAATGTCTTGGCATTACTCCAATAAAAAAAAAAATATTTATATATTCACTGACGATATGATAAGAATATCACTAAAAACAATTTCTGTTGCGTAGGTATATCGCATGCGATTTATTAAATATAGGTTGCATGTTATTCATACGTAACTAACATTCCGCACTAAGTCTAATGTAAAAAAAACAATCTAAATAGTTACAGAAATTGAGAGGATGAATATTATGAAATTTTTATGCAGGTTCTTATTTTAGGATTTTTAAAATTGAATAAGTATAAAGTCTTACATATTATTTTTATGCTTTGTTAGGTAAACTTATTAGGAATTCTCACATTTTACCACATATTATGATAAATCTACGATGTGCCTATGTATAATATTCCTAGTCCATCATTGTTTGCTATTATTTAATTACCTATTCAGAAGGTAACAAAAACACGGTAACTTGATACACACTCGATGTTTAGCATTTGTGAAAAGCGTCGTTAATTTTTTTTAAATTAAAAGATTATTATTGCTTCTAATGGAAATTTTTTTTGAAAGCCTGAAAACATGACAATATTTTAACCACAGCTAAATATATATTATATTATATACGATTATATATTGAACAGGACAGAGTCAGACAATTTAGTCGGATG